CCGCATATGTGCAGCACTGGCTAGATTTTGCTCACTCTGCACTTTTCTTTCAGGGCTTGATTTTTAAACCTCTTGTCCTTGCCTTCAGGCAGGCCCACATGGCTTCTAATAGTTAGATTTTTGAGCCTGGAAATGAGCCGGTAGATGACACAGGTCCCTTGTCTATGGATCAGATTACTCCTAGTTGGTTCTTGAGTTCACATAGCGCCTTTGTGGGCTGGGCCTGACCTGCAGGAAGTGGTCAGTAAATGTTTGCTCATTACATATTAGAATGAGTCTAATTTTGTGTTTCTGCATTTGAGATTCTCTAGACAAAGAATATCTCTGTGTTTCTGGACTCAGGGAGATGAAAGCTATAGTTCTCTAGTTCCCCAAAACTGCCCTTGGTTGGGACTCGGTTGGCCATCTTTATATCCTGAGAGGGAGGGAGGCTAGAGACTGATGACTGGTGGTGTAAGGGACTGTGGGCTTCAGGAGTGTCACTAAACCTGTCACTTGGGACTTAGGGTGCTTCTTTTGCTCCCCAAATTCCTTCTAGTATTGCAGATTTCCAGGACGTCCTGAAGGAGCCCACGATTGCCCTGGAAAAGCTTCGGGATCTCAGTTTTAGCGGTAAGTGGCAACTCCCTGTTTTCAGGAATTTTCTGCAGCAGTGTGGTGACTAGGATGGGGGGACGATGCAGAGAGTACACCTGGTCAGTCCTGGGGATCAGCCTGACTCGCAGGGAGAGGCTTCTCTAGATTCTGTGACTGCCCTGAGCACGAACAGTTGGCAGGGCAGTTAGCAAGTCACTGGGCTCGCCGGGGCGCTTGTTGGTTTTTAGTAACTGGAGAGGCCAGAGGTGGGGGGATGATGGTGGGAAGGAGACTTCTGGACTGAGGTCGGGTCTTTCTTCATCCCTCAGTGAGCTTCCTATGTTGTAGAATTCGGTTAACTGCAGAGCGGTTCCTGCTTCTCTCCGTGGCTTGGGATCAAAGCCAGCATGGGTGATAGTGAACTTTGGCTGCTGGTAAAGTTCTAGCCTTGAGACGGTGACTTAAAGGAACTGAACCTTAGCAGTGTTTGACTTTGCTCTCTCTGGCATAGTTAACCTCCCAGCACACAAGATAACTGCTGTTTGCTTGCTTGTAAAAACACCCCAAGGTGTTCTGTGTGGCTTCTTACCACTGCTTTGTAGCTTTGTGGGCCAAGCACTCTAGAGTGAACCTGCTCGTGCCAGGAGGGGCATTAGCTTCTGGTCACGGTCTTGGGGAGACTGTTGCAGTGGTTGCTTTGGCCAGGCCCCCGGTAGTACTGCAGAGGCTTGTCGTGATATTTAGGCCCCGGGGGTGGGCTCCAGAGTCAGACCTTCACTACCTGTTGGAGGCCGGATTGCTCTGTCTTTACAGGTAAATGTCTTCAGTCTTTGAGATGAGGACATTGCTGCTAATAAGCTTCCTGCTTCCTGGAGTCGGAATGTGGACTGAGTGCAGTTGTAGCTGTGAAGCACAAGCATTTATAGCTTAGTTTATAGTCCACAAGTGAAGGGGAATACCTTCTAGTGTGCCCGGCGCTGGGTGCTGGGAAGAGGAGACCAAGCTGGTGCTTGTGTTTCTAGGGCTCGCCCAGAAGTGGGCACAGATGTTTGAGAGCCACACAGATTCCACTTCCAGCTGAGGTGAATGCTACCTCGAGAAGTCATGAGCCATGCGTGTTTAAGGGGGCCCCTCTTTGACTGGGAGGTGGGGGTGGGAGAGGTGGCTCTGAGGAGGCCACACAAAGGATCTGAAAGAAGGTGCGAGCCTCCAAGGGACATTCCAGACAGAAGGCACCCGGCGGGGCCGGCCAGGGGGCCAAGTGACCTTAGCGTTGGCCTCACCATCTGGCTGGCCCTCTTCCTGCTGGAGAATCGTTCTTGAGGAAGTCCTTCTTGCCTACTCTGCTCCCTGCCAGCTGGGCTCAAGGTGGAGGGCTGGGGGTTCTGGGGCCGTGGCGCGGGGCGTGACCATTGCCTGCTGTGTCCACAGGCATCCCCTGTGAGGGCGGACTGCGGTGCCTCTGCTGGAAGGTGGGTGTGCCTGCGGTGGGGCTGCCGCTCTGCTGAGTCCCTGGGTTCCTGCATGGGGTCGCAGCCCCCTCATCCCCCTGCACCGTCTTCCTTTTTTACACCTTTCTTTGCTTGTCTAAAGGAGCTCTTCTGGGAAGTTCTGGGCTTAGTTCCTTTGGACATAAACCCCCTTCCTCCAAATATCCCCCGGGAGGTCGAACACTTTTGTCATGCCAGCGCGGCCCCCTGCCCCTGGGCTGTGTGTCCGTGGAGTGGTGCTTGCTGGGGCACTCTGGCCTTGCTTGCCCACAGCTGCGAGCCAGGTGGGAGCAGAAGCCCAGGGTCCGGGTTTCCAGCGCAGGCTTTATTGTCATTTCGAGAGTCTATGTGAGAAAAAGGCGAGGAAAGGGCTGGTTTAGGGTGAACAGAGGGAGGCAGTGGGAGGGAATCGGGCAGGCCGCCCCAGCTCGCGCCTGCCTCCAGGGTTCCGCCCGCCGGGTCTCTCTGGGCCTCTCCGACATTGCTGTCCAGGCCTGTGAGCCTCCAGCTGCGGCGCAGGGTTGGGCGTCCCCAAGCTTTACTCGTCTCCTCTTGTGCAGATTCTCCTGAACTACCTCCCCTTGGAGAGAGCCGCATGGACCTCCATCCTGGCCAAGCAGAGGTGAGCCCTAAGAGAGGGCGAGGCGGGGGCCTCCTAGCACCGGGACAAAGCTGAGCACCCCTGCCTGCTCCGGCCCCCTGGCCTGGGCTCCCGGGCAGCGCTTGGCACCGCTCCTCTCTCTCCTCTCCTGCAGGGAGCTGTATTCTCAGTTCCTGAGGGAGATGATCATCCAGCCTGGTATTGCCAAGGCCAACATGGGTGTGTCCAGGGAGGATGTGACCTTTGAGGACCACGTGAGTGGGCTGAACATGGGGCGGGGGGCGCTGAGGCTGCAGAGTGGGGAGGTGCTGGGCTTTGGCTTCCGGGCCCCAGGCCCCTGAGCACCATCTCTGCGTTGCTGCTCAGCCCCTGAAGCCTTAGTTTCTCTTCAGACTCCATGCCAGGCCCGGTGTGGAAGGCTGGCGATAGCTGGGCTGCCCAGAGGCTGCAGAGCGACCAGCTGCACTCCTCGTGACTTCATAGTTAGGGGAATCAGAGCTGGCGGGGGTGAGGCTGAGCTGCCTTTCTGTGACCTGCAGGAGGCCTCGTTTTCTCCGCCAGCCCTGTGCTTCTTCCCTCAGAGCTCTCTGCAGGAAGTGGAAGTAGGGGGACCGGCCACCCAAGGCCCGGAAGGGCAGCTCAGAGTCCATGAGCACTCACTCACTGCGCGTCACTGAGCGCGTTACACGCGGTTACACGCGGGGCGAAGGGCCGAGCGCCTGCAGGCAGCGAAGGGCTCGGGCTGCCAGCTGCAGTGTGGATGTGATGTTGGCGGGGGCGGGGGCCGTGCCGGGGAGCTGGGGCTGTCTCAGAGCCACTGCTGGGCCTCGGTGTGAGGCCACCCTCAGGCCTCTGGACTGGGATGTTCCCTGAGGGCGGAGCTGGGCCTGGACTGAGTGGCTGCTTCTCTCCCTCAGCCCCTCAACCCCAGCCCTGACAGCCGGTGGAACACATACTTCAAGGACAACGAGGTGCTGCTGCAGATCGACAAAGATGTCCGGTAAGCAGCTCCCCCGGGGGTGCCGGCCCTTGAGACACCCCGCGGTTTCCCGTTGTCTTTGTCCTTCCCAGCCCAGCCCCCTGAGGGGTGTTTGAGGAACTGACAGTGAGCTGTCCTGGGGGTGGCCAGGCGCTTTGTGACGGCAAGCGCAGTGGGTGGGGCCCCGCGCCCTCCGCGGCTCTCCTCTCCCCCATGGCGTCCGTTGTGGCGGGCACTTGTGGGTTCAGCTGCCCGCAGGGCTGCACATGGGCACGTGGGGGCGGGGGGCGAGCACCTGAGGGGAAGCCGGGAAGGTGGCTCTTCAGTGAATTCACATGTGTGGCACCTGCTCTCTAGGAAGAGTTTGGGGGTGTCACTGGGGACGCCCCTTCTGTGGAGGCAGTTCAGGCAGGATCTGGGGATAAGGGGAGCAGGCGCTGCGGCTGCCGGGGCGCGGCGTCCTGGGAGCGGTGTGACACTTGAGGGAGGCAGGGGTCAGGCCTTGGACTGGACCCCATGGACATGGGTCAGATGTGTTTTTACACAAAGGCGTGTGTACATGTGCCAGCTTTCCCCCGGTCAGGAGATGCGGGGCGCCGGCTCTGCTGATGGCAGCGGCCGGGGGAGGAGCTGGAAGGGGCCCTGTGTGCGGGGACAGCTGCCCAGGCTCAGGGCTGGCGCCCCTCACCCGCGTGAGCGTTCCCGCCTCCCCGCCCAGCGCTGCGCCTCTGCCTGGGGCCCACGTTCCCATGGGCCCAGAGGGACACCCCGCCCGGGCAGGTCGGCCGGGAAGTCCCTGAGGTGTTTTCTGGCCCCCATTTAAGTCCAGTGCCACCTGGTTCTGGGGAAACGGTTTCCGTCTGCTGCCGAGGTGCCCCTCAGTGCATCTGCTCTGTGGCTCGCAGGCCGGTGACACCCCTGCCAGCTGCTCGTTGCGCTGTGCCCAGTGTGCCTTTGGCTCTCTGTCTGGGACCGTCTCCCACGCCAGCTGTGTCACGTTTCACGCGGTGGAACCTGACCAGGCCTCCCCTCCTGTTACAGAGCCCAGCCAGCTCGCGCCCCGTTGGAACTAGCTGAGTGTTTCTGATGTGGAAAGTTACTTGTAGTCAAAGAGCCGGACTTTAAGACCCCGAGAACACTTGAAAAGATGTGTGTCTGTCTGCCAGCAGGTGTAAACACCGTGTGTGAATACGACAACGGCCCGTCCTTTTTCTAGAGAAAGCGTTACTGAAATGCGCGCAGAGCCTCTGAGGGCTGGGGTGCCTAGCCAGCACCCCCACTGAGTCACAGCGCTGTCTCCTGTTCCCTCTTGACAGGAGGCTGTGCCCAGATATATCCTTCTTCCAGAGGGCCACCGAGTACCCATGCCTCCTCATCCTGGACCCCCAGAATGAGTTCGAGACCCTTCGTAAGCGGGTGGAACAGACAACGCTGAAGTCCCAGACAGTGGCCCGGAACCGTAGCGGGGTGACAAATGTGAGAGGCATCCTGTGGGCTCCGGGAACTCCTGTGAAAGCCTTTTCTTGCTTCCCCGGGGCCGGTGGCCACCTGCCCAGATGCTTGTCCAGGCAGGCCGGGTCCGGCCAGACATTTCCTGAAAGCCGCGCTCGGGCTGGGCCTCGTGGCTGCGGGCAGGAACCAGCTGCGCCGCCTGTGCTCAGCAAGTGTGATGGGCACAAGCTTTGGGGGGATTGCTGAGTTCTTCTGGGGTTCAGGGAGAACTTCCGAGGTGGCACAGAAGCTGGGGCTTGCTGGATGGAACATTCCCGGTTCAGGGGACACGTATGTGTGTGTCCTCCAGCAGGTTTGAGTGACATGTGGTCAGGGAGTAGTGGGGCCCAGCGTGACTGGAGGGGGGGTTGGAGGAAAGGGTTGCCAGACGAGGCTGGAGCCCTCCCCTCGAGGCCGTGTGCCACGGATAGGTGTCCCGTACAGTGTTGATGGTGCGGCAGGGACGGGACGTGGCTCGGGTCTGTTCTTAAGGAGTTTGTGGGTGCTGGGGGAATTGATGGGAGGGCCAGGAGGATGCTGGAGAGGCTGGGCAGTTGGGCCTGAGCTGGAGAGGTGACCTGAGAATTAGGAGGCGGCACCATAGAACTTGTGTTGACTGAGTCATGCCTGGTGGCCAGCAGATTCCAGTAATGCCGAGAAGCTGCTTGTGGTTAGAACAGGTGGACCGTCTCTTCCCCTGATTGCTGGAACGCACATCCCTCAAAACTTGTCATTGTTCTCCAACCCCGGGCAGCCTTGTCCGTAGCCTCCAGCAAGCTAGAGGGGCTGTGGCCCTGCCTCTCTGGGAGCAGCCCTGGGTCGCCACAGGGCCCTGGGGCCTGCGACGGGGCCCTTGGCGAAGGGGCTGCCTGGCCCTCTGTGTGGGGCTGCTTTTACTTGAACGCTGGAGTCCGGCTTCTGTCACTCGTTTCTCTGGCATTGGGGCCCGAGGGCGCAGCTGTTACCAGTTTAGCTTTGCATGGGACAGAGCACAGGCCAGCGCTTCTTCTCTGGCCCCCTGGACTCCAGTTTGGGCAGTTAAAATTGACCATGTGTTTGATTCTGGCAAGTACTGCCAGGGGCACCTTCTTGCCCTCCAGAGTGGGGCACAGTCGTTTCCTCCCTGCCTGGCTTTTGCATCACGGGGAGTGTGAAGTGAGGCCGCGGCTGTGCGGATGTGCTGGCGAGCTGAGGCCTGCTCCCGTCCCGGGGCTGAAGCCGATGTCAGATGTGTGAGACGGAGGCCTCAGTTGCCACATTTTGAAATGCTGAGAGAACATTCTTGGTTGCTGAGAGGACCAGGTGGAGGACTGGCTGGGAGTACTGTCTGTGTGGACAGAATGCCTTCACACACCTTCGCTGTCTGCGAATGACTGGGGCTCTCCCTGCAGGTCACCCCAGCACAGAGCTGCAGCTCCCGAGCTCCCCAGCACATGCTGGGACCCTGCTTTGTTGCATGAGGTTTCAGCAGGGGTTGTCAGCTCTGTTTCCCGCCTGCTTTTTTTTACTTTTTAAAGATTTATTTATTTATGCATACAAGAGCTGGGGTGCAGACCAGAGATGTGGAGGGTGAGAGGTCTCACCAGAGACAGTGGGGAGCAGAAAGGTGGATCTACTGAAACACTGCTGAGGGGAGCAGTAGGAAGACAGGAGGCGTCTGCTGCGCCGTGTGGGCCCCTCCCTGGCCGGGGCTGGAACTCAGGCTGTCAAGATGGGCCTTCACGGTGGCAGTGCTGAGACTTAACCTTAAATACCTTTTAAAATTGAAGTTTAACCTAATGCAGTGAAATGCATAGATATTAAGTGTAAACCAGAGGGGTGTTTTCAGGTGTAACTGCCAACCAGGTCAAGATAGGAAACACTTCCCTCATCAGAAAGTTCCCACATGCCCCCCCAGGCAGCACCTTTCCCTGCGTGGTGCCCTCTCCTGGCACTGGTCCTCCTCAGCTGGACTTGAGCCAGTCCCGGGCAGTGTCCTACATGTGGGTTTGTCTATTTCCTGCTGCAGTGGTGGGCACAGCCCTCGATGCCTCTCCCCAGATTTCAAGGCGAAGCTTGAGGGAAACATTTAGGGTGCAAACACAGGGTTCCTGACGCACCGCCTTCTCCACAGATGAGCTCCCCGCACAAGAACTCGGCGCCCTCATCCCTGAATGAGTACGAGGTGCTGCCCAATGGCTGTGAGGCCCACTGGGAAGTGGTGGAGCGAATCCTGTTCATCTACGCCAAGCTCAACCCTGGCATCGCTTACGTGCAGGGCATGAACGAGATTGTGGGGCCCCTCTACTACACCTTTGCCACTGACCCCAACAGCGAGTGGAAAGGTAACGGGGTCTTGGCTGCCCACCCCCGGCAGAGCCACACGCAAGGGCTCCGTCAGGCCGTGCCTCGCTGCCCTTTCCCTCTGCCAGAGGAGGGGAGCCTGGAGCAGCTCCCAGACCCTTTCTGACCCAAGCTTTCTAGAATGTTTAGGTTGTAACCTAGTTTCTGGTTGAGGAGATGCGGTGTACTGAGAGCAGCTGAGGCGGGCTCCAGATATCTGGGCGGTGTCATCAGGAATGAGAGCGTGCACTGTTGGCAGAAGGCCTGAGGAGAAATTGTCCAGAAAGTGCTTAGTGGGGGTGTGGCGGTCAGGGACAGAGGACAGCCTGGCCGGGAGGGTAGGGTCCTCGGCGAGGGGCAGGTCTGGAGGAGGACAGCATTCCCTGGGGCCCCGCTCACCCTCTCACCTCCCGTGTCCTCCAGAGCACGCAGAGGCGGACACCTTTTTCTGCTTCACCAACCTCATGGCTGAGATCCGGGACAACTTCATCAAGAGCCTGGACGACTCGCAGTGTGGCATCACCTACAAGATGGAAAAGGTGTACTCCACCTTGAAGGATAAGGATGTGGAGCTCTACCTGAAGCTGGTGAGGACTGGGAGCGCACGGCAGGCTCTCACGGACAGGGGCAGCAGGCTCCCGCACAGCCCAGGCCCAGCTGAGGTCCGGCTGGAGTTGGGTTGGGCGGTGCTGGCAGGACCCCGGCGGCAGGCTGGGAGGGGTAGGCTGGGTGCCATCCCGTGAGGCTGTGCGCACAGGCTGCCTCGGGGCACTGTGACAGGCTCTGAGAAAAGCCTAGACTTCTGCAAATACTAAAAATAAGAGAGAATCATGGAGCGCGTATACGCTTATTTCCAGAAACTGCATTAGAAGAAAACTTACCTGTAAGCCAGAGTCCTGGACTGTATCGATAGGCGTGTCTGTTTAAACAAGCCTGGCGGGTGTTAACAGCGTGCCCTGCCCTCGGCCTTCGGGGCCAGCCGCGGGCCCAGCTGCGGCCCACTTGCCTCACAGGCGAGTGCCCAGCGAGTGCCGAGCGAGTTCGCGGGGAGGCGCCTCCGCAGAGGGAGCGGAAGGCCACGCTTGTAGCCTGGTTGGGGCCTCTCGGGCTGGCCCTGGAGCTGATAGCTTTTCGGAGTTAAACTTGTTCATAAATCAGGAGAGCTTGTAGAAAAGCCTGGGTGTCTGGTCTCTCCTGAAAAGTGGGAGCGCCTGCCCGTGGGCCGGCAGTGAGCAGCCGCCGCCCTTGAGCCAGCAGGCTCCCAGGCAGCCCGGAGCCGCCCTCAGCGTGCCCGGCTTAGGCCCGGGGCCTGCTGCTGGTCGGACTTCAGTCTAGCAGCTGGGGGTACCCTTGCCCCCACGCCACCCCACGCCTTTGCCTCTCCAGCAAGAGCAGAACATCAAGCCCCAGTTCTTCGCCTTCCGCTGGCTGACGCTGCTGCTCTCGCAGGAGTTCCTGCTGCCCGACGTCATCCGCATCTGGGACTCGCTCTTTGCCGACGACAGCCGCTTCGACTTCCTCCTCCTGGTCTGCTGTGCCATGCTCATGTGAGTGGGGCCGGCGGGGGGGCGGCAGCGGCCCTCAGGGCCTTGATGGAGCCTGGAATTTGGGGCTGGGGCCGCCCCGGGTTGGGGGGTGAAGGCGGAGCGGGCAGGGACCCATGGGACGGAGCTTGGCCGCCGGGGTCCCAGTGCCCTGTGCTTGTTTCTCCAGACTGATCCGGGAGCAGCTGCTGGAAGGCGACTTCACCGTAAACATGCGGCTCCTGCAGGTAGTGGAGTCGGGCGGGGAAGGCACCTAGTGGGCACCCACCGTGGGCCAGCCGCGTGGCATGCCGGGCAGCTGGAGCAGAGTCCACACCCCAAGCAGGTGGCTTTGATCTGCCACTGACCTTCCGGGCGCAGGCTGGGGCTGAGTGAGTGAATGACCTGGTCTCTGAACCGAGGGCTCTGCTAGTGAGACCCGGCACAGTGCCGCTTGCGACAGAGTAACTTGTCCCCCACGATGGAAAGTGTGGGGTGTCGTGAACTAGGCGCAAGGGTCAAGAGCCCCTGGGAGCTGGTTGCATGACGTGAACCAAGTGACCACCTCTTAAGCCTTAGTTTCTTCACCAGCCTGGACTGGGGTTGGTTTCCAGTAAGTTCACTGATTAGGTCTATAAAATAGGCCTGATCAATCACCCCCTTACTGGGCTTTCGAGGTGACTGCATGGTCAGTGTCCAGCCCAGACCCAGGCTGGCTACGATTGGAGCCCGGGGGTCCCTGGCAGGAGGTGGGAGAGGCGAGGTGGGGCTGAGACTCTGGGTGGGTTGAGTCAGTGCTGTGGTCAGTAGAGTGTTGCTACATGTGGTCCCCCTGAGGCCAACATCCGGCATGGTGCCAGGGCCAGGGGGAGGGCACGGGCGGCCGTGGTGGTGAAGAGCTGACTTCAGACCTGTGTTGCTGGTCTCCCCGTTCCCAGGATTACCCCATCACAGATGTCTGTCAGATCCTACAGAAAGCCAAGGAACTCCAAGACTCCAAGTAGTCTTGTTGCGAGAGGCCCAGGTTTGGGAGACAAGCCGCCAGCCCCGGCACCCAGGCTCTGGGAGATGCAGAACGCTGTGGGCTCCAGCCGAGGAGAAGCTGCTGCGTGGCCAGCCCCAGGCCTTCTCACCGGTGCCCTCACCCGTGGCCGCTCCCATGGGAGCACACTGTGCCATGCTCCTTCCTCTCCCCGGCCCCGGCGCCTCTCCCTGTTCTCAGCCCTGGCACCTGCGGCCCAGGCTGTGCGGGATGGCTGGCACTGACGAGGTGGGCCAGTGGGGGCACACTGGAGGCTGGCAAGGGCCCGCCTCACTTCTGCCCTGCTGCTCCCTTGTTCCACACCTGCTCTGGCCTTTGGGCTCCAGCTGGGGGAGGTGCTTGGCAGGTGAGCCAGAAACCACTTCTGGGGGCGGTGCTTAGGCGTCTCCATGGGGAAGGCGACTCCAGAGGAGCTGAGAGGCCGCGGGGCCCAGTCTCACCTTCTGTTTCCCTCACAGTGTGTGTCTGTCCAGTCGTAGGTCAGCGTGTGTCTTTGGTGTGTGTGTGTGGGGGGGGTGCCATGCCCCCCGGGTCTCCGCTTCTCCTGTCTCCTGCCTGTCTCTTGTCTCCAGAGGAGCCGAGAGGCCGCGGGGCCCAGTCTCACCTTCTGTTTCCCTCACAGTGTGTGTCTGTCCAGTCGTAGGTCAGCGTGTGTCTTTGGTGTGTGTGGCGGTGTGTGTGTGTGTGGGGGGGGTGCCATGCCCCCCGGGTCTCTGCTTCTCCTGTCTCCTGCCTGTCTCTTGTCTCCTGCTTTCAGAGGGTGGCGTGACTCCCACTCTGACTACTTCTCCTTTACCTTGTCTTTTCTTGGGGTGCCTTATCCCCAGCCTCTTGCCCTCTGCACCCCCTCCACTCCCGTGAACCCCAAAGACAGAATGGGATTCTGGCCCTGCAAAGCACCTAGAGGCCAGTCTTGGCCTTGGGCCCTGTCCCCATCCCCTCGTGCTACACGCCCAGGTCCCCCAGACTGGGAGGGCATCCACAGCGCCTCATTTTGGGGCTCTGAACCTGCTCCCCACCACAGGAATTGTGGAATCCAAAGGCTGCCAGAGAATGATGGCCTGCCCGGCTTTGGACCTCCCCCCTCGGCTGCCCAGGGGTGGACTGTGCTCCCCCAGGCTTTTCTCCCACAGGCTAAGGACAAGAAGGTGGTGCTGTCCGGGTTGGGGTCCAAGTGCTTCAGCAGTGTCCTATTTCCCGGGCGCCGGAGCCCAGCGAGGGCCGGTCCCGCCAGTGCTGGGGGAGTGTGCTCCCCCGCCGGCTGCAGGCAGTGCTCACCCTCGCCTGGTTGCTCCCGGGCTGTCCCCATGTTGGGGCGGGGGGTCTCCGAGCAGGAGCAGCCGGGTGTGTGTGTGTTTTGTGTTTGGGGGGCGTGAGTGTGTGTTGTGTGTGGGGGGCTCGTTCTGAAGGCAGGTGGTCTGGGTCTGGAGGGCCGGGTCACGGATAATGGGTCCTCCCTTCCCTAGGCTGGCCCACAGGAGCCTTGGCCCAGGGTCCTTGTGCCCTTGACCCTCCCCCCATCTGACAGGGTTGCTGTGGCCCAGCAGGCCTGCCGCCTCTCCAGGCTGCTGCTTTGCCAGCCACACTGAGGCGCTGCTTGGACTTGATGCACTTGCTTTTTTGTTCCCTTCTCCCCCAACACAGGATTTGGGAGATCTTCCTATTTATTTAGGGTCTGGGTATTTATTGCAGATTGGCAAGTGCTTGGTTCGGGAGGCAGGGAGGCAGAACGGAGTTGGCGACACGGCGGGGGCTGGGACATGAGAGCTGGGATCCTCCCCAGACACCCCTGCCTGGGCCTGAGACGCCCCGACTCCCACCAGCCTGGCCCACCATTTCCCAGAACCTGGCAGCTGGTGGTTCAGTCCTGCCCTTGACCCCTTCACAGTGAGGCCTGGGCCACCACCAGGGACCCAGCAGACACTGCCTAGACACCTGATGCATTCCCTCTTGCCTGTCCCCTGTGTTTTGGGGGCCATGCTACTTGAATCACTGCGTCTAATTTGCCTCAGTGGCAGCCCTGGGGCCAGTGCCCTCTCTTTGACCTTGGAGTGAAGGTCAGGAGCACCAGGACTCCGCTGTGGATATGACCTGCCCAAGGGTCCTGCTTTTGGCCAGTTTCCTCCCAGGCCCTCAAGGGAGATGGGAGAGCCAGAGTGCCCCAGGTGTCCTGCTGGGGAAGCTGCCCCCTCCCCATGTTGGAACCTGTACTCCCCAGCAGTCCTCATTCCAGGGTCAATGTTAGCTTTTGTTTGTTCATCTGTTTTGTTCCTTGAATCAATGCTATTGACAAATTGTGTTGAATAAATCATGTGTTCTTTGCAGTGGGCATTGATGCTCTTAATGGGCTGGAGCCTCAGAGATGTCAGCAGGAAAGGAAGTTTGCGCAGGGGTGGAGTGAGGAGGCCCTGGCAGCTGAGGGAAGGTGGGGAGATGGATGGGGGACGGTGCTCGGTGCTCAGCTTCGTTCAGCCCTTGGCATTGCAGCAGAGAGGGTGTTACACAGGAGGTTGAGAAAACTTTGAAAATGCAAAAACGAGTCACCAAGGCTTATGATCTGGAGGACATCACTTGACATGTTAAATCTTAGCAGATTTTACAAATCTGTATTAGGCCATCACTTTCTTGGTAAAGATTTGTGCCCTGTCTCCCACTTCCTCCTGCCTCTTGGCCAGGAGCAGCGCCTTCCAGTGCATCTCCCTTGAGGAGTGACTGCCTCACCGGTCCTAGGAAGCTCGGTAGGAAGGTCAATGTGGGCATTACGGGCTGTGACCTGTTACATCTAAAATTCTAAAGTGGCCCACATCAGCCCCCATTTCTGAACATTTGCTTACTCGACCCTCTGCTGTAAGTAAGACTGTGGGACCAGCCTCTGGTGAGGTAGGCTGAAGAGTCTTGGACAGGGCACCCCCATGTAGAGTGGGACTGGGGGTGCCAGGGCCCACCCAAGGGGGCAGGGAGGAGGGATACCCCTGTCAAACAGTGAAAACTGTTCAGGGATGCACGTCAGAAGGTTCCATTTGCAGCCCTTCCTGTCACAGCAAGTGTGACTGGTGACCGGTATCCGGATTCCTCATCCAGGTCCTGCTCGCCAGAGCCAGTGCGGCCCCTTCACGTCCGAAAGAGCCTCGAGTTCTTACTCCTCTGCTGGCTCCTTTCAGATGTCTTTTGCTTGAGGAGTAACTGCACTCTTAGAGGATTTCAAAAGCTCGCCATCAGACTGGAGTCTTAGACCCCAGTGCTTCTGGAGACATCTCGCCGCGTGGCTTCGTCGCCGCTCGGGGCTGCCCGGGTACTCCCAAGTTAAGACACTTTTATGTTTCTCAAGAAGTAACGTTTCTTAAAAAGTTCCTGCTTGAGACCCTTGCGTTCCTGATTTGTCCCCCAGCTCAGCCCTCTATAGATGGTGGCCGCACGGACATTTCAAGACGTCTGCTTCCCGCCTCGCTGCCTTCTGCAGCCTAGCGGGCGCGCCCCGACCAGCGTCCCGGTCTCTAGCTGGGTGTTACCGAGAAAATCTGCCGAGCTCTTAGAAATTTTCGGCCGAGCCCACTGCGTAATGGTTAGGAACTAGATGTATTCTGGTGTCAGACCTGGGGTCTAGTTCTTGTTCTGCCAGCTTGAGGCTCTTGAGGGTGCAGGAAAGCGGGGATCTCAGCGCTTCAGACCCGCGGTCGCGGCGGGCGGGTCCTGGGGCGGAGCCTATGCCCGAGGGGCGGAGCCCGGGCCTGGCGGCAGCCAATCAGCCTAAACGGAGGTGCCACGCCCTCTTAAAGGGGCCTCTTAAAGGGGCAAAGAGACGGCGCGGGGACGGCCCCCTGAGGTCACTGCCGGCCTCCCTCGCTGGACTCTTAAGCCCCTTGGGCGCTCGCGAGTGGAAAGGAGCGGTCTCCCGCCCGGCCGCGTCCTCGCCTGGCCCCGCCCACCGCTGTGGGCCGCGCAGGCCGGCGCGGCGCCTTTAAGACCGACTGGGTCGGTCGCCGGAGGTCACGACGTTCCCCCCGCGCCCGGCTCGACCCGACCTCCTCTGCCATGCAGTCTCTGCGCACCGGCCTGGCCCTGGTCCTGGGCGCGGGGCTGGG